TTCTCCATTATCTCTCTGACCCTTGCAGGATCAATTTTCGCCTTGCGATCGTACGAATAGAGCCCGTTCACTTCCTGTTCAATATCTGTCCTACAGCAAGAATGTCAGGACCTGCGATATAACAGACTTGTAGACTGACTTACAACTGTGTATAAACCAGTCCACAGCAGTGGCGGCCCTTCACGACGCCCACGACCAGTTTTTCGATTCTTTGAAGTAGATCCTCTGGGTCGCTAGCGGTGGTATAACCCCAGTCTTTCGCACCAACTGATGGTGCATCCTTCGCAGGTGCAATATTGACACCGCCAAATTCGGTACACAAAATTGGTGCGCCAGACCTATGTTCAGCACGACTGTCGATGACGGCAGATGCTGAGCCATATATTGGTGGAACAAACAAGTCTCGGTTTGCTTTCTGGCCAAGGATGCCCATCATGGTCAAACATGTCTTCTCTAGCTCGGGTCCATCTGCATAATCGTGAAACGTTGTTAGATCGGTCAAGACATGCTCCCAGCCACAGTTGTCGTTGATCGGCCGACTTGGATCCAGTGTCCTGTTCAAATACTTAGTATGCCACATACACTGTATTTAGGTCTCATTTGGACATACTTCGTCATATAGTAGAGCGAGCGGATATGATTGCGTTGCTCAATATTGTCTTTCAATGACGTGTATCCCCAGCTCTCATTCACAGGGGTCCAAGCAACAACGCACGGGTGGTTAATATCGCGCTTCACTACTGCTATCCATTCTTCGTTGAATCGCTCCACGTACTCATTATTGAATTCGTACGCATTGGCGACCTCACCCCACACTAGATACCCGAGATGGTCAGCCCAGTATAAGAAAATGGGATCTTCGACTTTCTGATGTTTCCGACAGCCATTGAAGCCCATCTTCTTTGACAGCTCGATGTCAGCTTTGAGACTGTCTGCAGACGGGGGTGTCATTAGGGTTTGTGGCCAGTAACCTTGGTCAAGCACCAAAGCTTGAAAGATGGGCTTTCCATTCAACCTGAAAGTCCCATCTCCATTGGTCCATGACAGGCTCCTCATTCCTACAGTTGTGTTGACTTCATCGACCACTACCGCTTCGGCATCGAGCAGCTTTAGCTGTACATCGTAAAGTAGGGGATACTCTGGGCTCCATAGGGCTACACCTTCTCGCCAACATGCATCATCGTCAGGGAGGCCTTTGTCTCCTAGAAAAGAGTGCCGCTGCTCAGACGAAAGCCGCAAGCTAAGATCAAGTGTCACCGACTCCTTATCTTTTACCAAATCCTGTCTCACGCTTCCAACTTGAGTGCCACGGAAGCTGGCCGAGACCTCAACAGTACAACTGAATGCCGACGGTCGCCCCAGAACAGATACGTTTGCATGCAGAGCACCAGCTTCGATATTGTCTGATCTTAGGATTGTACCGTGGCTGCTGTCTCCGACGCGGATGCGAGGAACGCTTTCCAGCCAGACGGACTGCCAGATGCCGCTGCTTGGAGTATAGAAGATGCTCTCTGGCTCTGGACCCCAGTACTGCTTCCCACGAGGCTGCGAGAGGTCATATGGGGAATCTCGAACCCGGACCCTGACCTGGTGTTGACTTGCATTGGCCTGGACCTGCACAGCATCTGAAATGTCCAGGTCAAAAGGAATATGGCCACCACGATGCCTCCCTACAATGTGATCATCAACCCATACGGTCGCCTCGTAATCAATGGCGCCAAAGCGTAGTAGCAATCGATGTCCTTTCTTCAATTCTTCCGAGGTTCTGATGTCTGCGAAGCTTCTTTCATACCATAGCACCTCGTGAGCGCCACGTTCGCCAATGCCAGATGCGGGGGCCTGAAAGACAAATGGCACTTCGATGGTTCGCCTTGCATCTCCAGACAGGCCAGCATCGTCATCATCAAAAGCGAATTGCCAGGTTCCGTTCAGTGGCGTCCAATTTAGGTCCCGACGTTCAAAGTCCGGCCGAGGGTATGGTGCGGATTCTGCCATAGTGTGCAGAAGCAGGTATCTTGAGCCGGTAGGCTGTCGGGCGATTGAAACGACCTAAATTAGCGTGTCATTGCCCATTAAGGCCTGAAACAGTCGTCACTTCCTCGTGCCCTAGCGATTTGCTGGCCCGAAACACATTCACGCTTTACCGACAAACTTATGATTGATATAAATGACACCCATCTTCTCAGAATTCAAATCGGCAGATTTAGTTGATTTCGAGAACGCGAGGCACCGAAGTCGGCGAGTCGTGGCCCATTATACTCTCCACCGCGGCCATTATTTCTTAACAGTCACATGAAACTGACATCACAGCAATCCCGGACTAGTCTAAATCAATATTGATGCAGGTCCGATATGAGAATGTTGCAGGCGAACTAGGAAATGATTGCTGGTGTTAGTGTTAAACAACATGTATGCTTATGCTAGAGAATAAAGCAATAGCAGGATTGTCGAGTTACAAACTAAATTGCGACAACTGCCTCTTTCTCCCTAAGCGATTGCATATTAGCATCCTTAAGAAACTCCCAGTCGATATGAGGTCCTTCAAAGTTCTTGCGCCCAGTCGTAAACCACAGAAGTGTCGTTATTCCAAGAAGACCGACTACGATAACGCTAATGTAGTTCATGCTTGATGTAGTTACTGGAATCAATGGCGGCATACAGACAATGACCGTCAAAACAATCGTGTACAATACTGCATAAGTATTGCAAACATATCCAAACCATACCAGATTCAGGTATCTAGGCGGCAGACCCTGCTTTCGGCCATGTAGAAGAAGGAGCCCTTGGGGTGCTGCGTAAGTGATGCTTAGAAAAAGTACTGCGGAGGTGACGATTGAGTTAAATGCAGTAGTCGATGCGAGATAGAGTAACCCGTAGAGGAGAATGAAGGTAAAGGCAGCAACAGTGGTACGAATGGGAAATCCAAGTCTCGAATCGACCTTGACGAAATATTGAGAGAATGGAACGCCGTTCTACCAGGCTTTAGTTAACCAAGCGGTATATCAGATTTATCATGATCATAACTTACATTGAACAATGACCCTCAAGCCAACCACTACTCAATCCTTCTATCTCTTGCTTCAGTCTTTGATGCGCATACACTTGAGCTCGTGGACCTTCAAAGACTCCCCTTAGGACCGGATGCAAACTTAGAGCCGGAGACACAACCGTGGGATCCTGTGGAAGCGGCAGAATACAACGCGGGCATCCTTGGGCAAGACACGTTTCGAAAGGATCTTAAGCCGTTGCAGGTCGTGCAACCAAATGGCCCATCTTTCTCAACTACGGGTCGTCGGGTCGAGTGGCAAAAATGGTCTTTCCAACTTGGCTGGAGTTTGCGTTGAGGGTCCAGTCCTCCATGACATCAAGTACGACAACCGCTCTTGGTTCTATAGGGTGTCAATGAGTGAGATGTCTGTTCCTTACGGTGATCCTCGTTCCCCATATCATTCGAAACAAGCTTTTGATCTTGGAGACTCAGGTTTTGGGTTGACTTCTAACAGTCTTACCCTCGGCTGTGATTGTCTAGGTCATATTGCATACTTTGACGCGGTAAGGTCAACATCTACTGGAGAACCTGTCCTTATGCAAAATATTATTTGCATGCACGAAGTTGACGAAGGGATTGGGTGAAAGCACAGCAATGTTCGCAATCACCATTCCTCTGTGGTTCGTGACCGTCGACTCGTCATCCAATGCACGGCCACGGTTGCCAACTATGAATACATTCTGGCATTTGTTCTCGACCAAGCTGCTAATTTGCACATCGAAGTGCGCGCTACTGGGATTATATCAACAATGCCAATCCGGCAGGGAGCAAATGTTCCTTGGGGCACCACGGTTGCTCCTGGAGTTCTTGCGGTTAATCATCAGCACCTCTTCTGCGTCTGCATTGACCCTCATTTGGAAGGGTTACGAAAGAACACAATCAAGTACGATGATTGCATTCCGGTCGTCGACGAACCGGAGCTAGATCCGTTTGGTTGCGCTTTCCGTCATGAGAGCAGCTCCGTGAAGAAGCCAGGCGGCTATGATCTTGATCTCAGCAAAGCTCGGGTATACAAGATCATCAACAATTCTCGGAAAAATGCTGTATCTGGAAAGGAAGTTGGCTACAAGCTACACGCAGTACCTAGCCAGATGATCATGATGAGTCCCAAGACATTCAATTTCCGTCGCGGAGTGTTTGCCTCCAAACCAATATGGGTCACGAAGTACCAAGATGATGAGCTCTGGATTGCAGGAGAGTTTACGAACCCGAGCCGACAAGACACTGGTCTTGCTGTCTGGGCTTCACGCGATGAGTCTGTTGAAAATGAAGGTGTTGTCCTTTGACATAGCTTTGGTCTTACTCATGTCCCTCGACCTGAAGGTAAACTTGGTCTCAAGGTTTCTAGAAGAGTAGCGCAATCTGCTAATAACCATTACACTATACTTCCCTGTGATGCCTACTGAGAAGATTTCTATGTCTCTGAAACCAGAAAACTTTTTCGACCTCAATCCTTCAAACGATGTCCCTCGCTCTTCACAGAGCGAAAACAATTCAAGGCTATTTAGCCATTCCAAGGAATCATGTTGTAACAAATAGCTAGACGAATATTGTATCAGACTTCACGGCACTCCTCAGATAATGGCTAAGATTCTTTGCAGTCGTGATAGGTTGACACTACGTCGACACGGCCATGTACCTATAGAGCCAGAGTTATGTGCCAAGTGTGAAGCTTGTTTGGGTTTAAACTTCAAAGGGCGTTTATGCTACGCCATCTTGCATCGTTCTAGTTCAAGTTTGTATGTGTAAACTGGTTCTCAAGAGCGATTACTACTCACATTCAATGTACTGACTGCGAGTCACACAGTGAGTGAGGGTTTCAAGAGTATCATTTGGGTCTTATACAGCGAGAGCCCTCGAGCCTCTATGATACTTTCATCGCCAATTGATTTGTATGTTGATTATGATTTATTCTATTAGATGCATTTCTATAAAAAAGGTAACTCCAAAACTAGTACACGTCTCCCTTTAGTTGTTTGTACACGGGTATGTTAAACCTCTCCCTCGCCTTGTCCATCACCCAGCCGAAGCGGTCCAGTAGCCCTCGCCGTATGGCCACAGTCACGATGCCTGCCACCGCTGCGACCAAGAACAACACCAATGCGATCACGCGGCCGGGAGTCCACGTTCCAGGGTTCTCCACCACAGGGTACGGTGTGTCATCCATGCGCATCAAAAGAAGTAAAGATGCTGTCCATCCCGTGAAGCCCTTGCCTCGCCTGCCATGTCCAGTGACATCAGAGTACTGCTCCCACACAAAACCTGTGTCGTACCAGCTGTCGAAGACCTTTGCCAGTATGCGGCGCCTTAGCTGCTGCGCGAGCTTCTGCACCCACTTCTGCTCTTTTCCGGGCCACCGTCCTATCTCGTTGAGCCGTAGTACCGCTAGGACATTGATGTTCATCCACACAGCACCGCGCCAGTAGTCATCGCCTTGTCCATACTTATCCTCCTTGATGCTCAAACTTCGAATGCCGTAAGGCGACCAGATCTTGTTCGGGTCATTGAGCAAACCCAGAACGGCGTTGAGATTGGGGTGATCCGCACCAAGGTGGCCAGTCAGAAATGGTATGAGTGAGATGTAACCAATATGGCACACCTGCTTATATTCACCTTTTGGATCAACCTTTGTCTCATCCTTGGAATCATCCTTAGAGTCGCTCTTGAACAGCACCGTAGAATCGCAGTAGATTCTTCCTACCGGGTCGTAGTGTAAAACATCGAGATTGTGCTCTATATTCTTCGCCTGTTTGCCATACATCTTGGCATCCCCGTCTTCGCCCAAATACTTCGCGATTCTTGTCAGAGTGCGAGCGGATGCGCCTACCCACGACAGCGCGTCGACATGTAATTCTGCGGGATGCGGCACATTCGCGCGCGGAGAATCGTCCAGGCCACTGGTTAGGGTAAGCTCTGGGGTGCGCCCACGCCACCTATAGCCTTCGTCTGGGATAGTCTCATTTGGGCGAGTGTACGCGTCACTGAAGTCACCGGCCTGCGTCCGTCGGAACCAGTCATATTGTCGGACAAGCAGGGGATACAGTTCCCGCAGGAGTTTCTCGGATGTTTCGGGCGAAGCGAGATGCTGGGACGGTCTTCCAAGATATGAAGTCTGGTTATCGATCTTATCTAGTATCATCGGCAATACCAGGGCAGTGAAGGTAAGAGGATTTGCGTGGTGAGGATACTGAACCTGGAACTCCTCAGGCACTTTACTCCGTGCCTCAGGTCCGAGAATTTGTTCTCGTGCAATCCACCCATCGCTGTCCATGAGATTGTACCAGCTGCGCAGGACCGAGACTGCAAGGTCCAAGTCCCACTCAACTACTGGGAGCAAATGGAAGCCTTCGTCCCAAAGAAATCCACGAGCGAAAGAGGACCTAGAAGGGGTATGTGATAGAAGCGATGTTGGTTCGGCTGTTGTTATTTCCGCTTGCGCCATCGCACTGGCTGTATCTTTCCAGAAGTCTGGCTTTTCCTCTTCGTATGCTTTAGCGTGCGTCAGGTCGACTTTGCTGTCACCATGGAAGTATCCAAGACCACCAAGAAGATTAGACAGCAAAGACTGTTCGAATGAGACATGCTCGGGCTCAAAAGGAGGGTGGTATGGCGCCACCCAAGGGAAAACATTATTTATACGTTGCTGATACATCGTTCTAATCTCATCGACTTTGCCCGCGAAATTGGCGGCTAATCAAATATTAGACATTTTCGAACGATCATCAAAGAGTGATCATAACTTACATGTTATAGTCTTCGTGGTTGACTTTGAATAGTAGATCAAGTCTATCTACGAAGATAATCAGCGAGAGTGATACGGTCTAGGGACTCTATAATTTCTTCAATTACCTCGAAAGGTCCCTCAAAGACTGCTTGTAGAAAATGCATGTTCGCAGTCCGATGACCGCTGGGTAGCCCCGCCCCTCCCGGTGCAGCACTAGACGCGGCTTTGATCTGACTCGTGAGGACAGCTGTGCGTGCATGTTAGATGATTCTCTGCACTGATAGCACGGAGGAAACCCTTACATTTCGCTTGCCAGGTACTAGACTCTGGAACCTGGATACTCTTGATCGCAGGACCTTCGACGATGTTGCCTTGCGCTACGTTGATGACCTGAATCTCAAAGCCTCCAAGAGAAGGATCTTCACCGGTACAGACAGCGATGACCTGATCATTTCCTGCGGGCGTATCAGCCGGCTCACACCGCACATACTTGGTCGGTGATTCTGCAGCGCTAGGGTCCGGCATGTCTTCTAATGCGAGATGGAAGATGACTGCTGTCTTCGTAGCGCGTCTCTTAGGAGCACCATCGACGCGAACACCCCAACTCTTCCCGTCGGGTGTCTTGATGAACGATGTAGTAACATCCACATCTATGCTGGTATCATTGATCGTCTGGATGCCTCCAGACCGGGTGTCATAGACGGTCCAGCCGAATTTGATGTCATCATCCTTCTCACAGGTATCCCGCAGCGCTGAGAATGTCAGTGGTAGGAACTCGGTTATTGTGTGATAGAACTCACATTTGACGAGTGCGTCGCTGCTCTCTCCATTGCCCCACATTAATCCCATGAGCAACGATTTTGGCACCTGTGGCCGGACTCCGAAATACAGATTTGGCCGGTAAGGCCCCCATCTTAACGAAGCATCTTCCGATGTCTCTGCTGTCGCAGAACCTGCCCAAAGGGTCAACGCAGCAAAGATCGAGACAAACGCGCGAAAGAGCGACATGTGCGCGCCGGGATTGCCCATCCTTTTCCTTGGTGTCGGTCGTGGCGCTCAGGGGCACACAGAGGAGCTGAGCGCGAGTAGCGGTGCTGAGTGGCAGGTCTCAGATTGCGCTGGAGATAAGAGATTACTGCAGTCCCATAGCGCGACAGAAACCGAGTCCGCGAGGCAAGAAAGGCACCAAGCCAAGTGCCTATTCACTCTAAAGTGTTCGCAGCGTACCCAGCTCCGCCCAAAGCTCTTGATCTCTCGACAAAGCGACGCTGAAGTTTGATGTTCTTTTGACGTGCTGCTCCTTTTCTTAGCTTGAAATCAAGAGCGGTTTAATTTCGGTCCAGGCATGACGTCTCCACCGCATGATTAGCGTCATCGTGCTAGCAGCACGTGCTTGGTATAACGATATTAGCTACTTGCATAACCCCTCTCATTCCCCCCCCC